TAAAATTATGTTGTTTCCAAAATCTTATGATTGATTCTTGAAAGAGTTGTAACATAGAAAGTCTCTCTTATTAAACACATATAAATTTTATTGTATGTAAACATAATAAAATGTTCCAGAACAAAATATTATCCTACTAATTTAAGTAGCCTACATTTAAGGGTTCGAATTATTAAGCAATAAATTCCTGCATGTGCCATTCACTCTTAAAACATATTTCTTGCAAGACGTATAACTATATAATTATTAAATTTTGTCAATGATTTTTTTCTCCCCAAAATACAGCAGATATATAACTTTAAACAATTTAAATGCCTCTGGGATAATGGTAGTGTTGTTTTGGTTTGACTCACTCAGATTTCACTCACAATAAAAGGTCAATAAACTCATTCTTCTATATAAAAAAAAGTTTTGAATACCTGTTAATGTAGGTCATTTGTCATTGACCTTCTTGATACAGGTCAAGTTGATTTATAAATACAAGGGTATAATATTATCGATAATATAATATATATGGCAAAGTGTCTTTCTTGTGCCTTATACTTACTAACTAAGCAACATTATTATGAATATACATATTAGATAAACAGGTTTTACATGTATAACAGTTTGCATGTAAATTTGAATGGTATCAAAATGTTTATATTTTTAAGTATAATGGCCCTTTCAGTAATCTGTTGGTTTGATTTTTTTGAGTTTTTGATAAAGTACTCATAAACTGGTTAGTAAATTTGTACTTTATCATGAAGAGTGTTCATATGACTGTGTTACAGTACAAACACATATTTGTTTGATGTATGAATTATTAGAAAACCTTTTATATAATAAATAGTAACAATAATTAGAAAACCATTTCTGTAATCAAGCATTAGGTTTAGAAAACCTAGGATAAGAAAACCAATTATGTTGTAAAATATTTAAAAAAATCTGATGCCAATTATTAGAAAACATAGGATGAGAAAACAAATTCTATTGCCAATTATTAGAAAACCTAGGATGAGAAAACAAATTCTATTGCCAATTATTAGAAAACATAGGATGAGAAAACAAATTCTATTGCCAATTATTAGAAAACCTAGGATGAGAAAACAAATTCCATTGCCAAATATTAGAGAACCTAGGATGAGAAAACAAATTCTATTGCAAAATATTAGAAAACCTATGATGAGAAAACATTCTATTGCCAAATATTAGAAAACCTAGGACGAGAAAACAAATTCTATTGCCAAAATCCCAAATATTAGAAAACGTAGGATGAGAAAACAAATTCTAATGCCAAATATTAAAAAACCTTGGATGAGAAAACAAATTCTATTGCCAAATATTAGAAAACCTAGGATAAGGAAACGAATTTAAGGATTGTATTTAATCGTCAATGATTAGAACCTAATTTTATCTTCTAGGAATAAACAATTGGTTACATTACCAAGATTCAGAATTATGGAAAAAAACTCAGAGATGAAGGGCTTTCACAGTCTAGTCATGAATAAGCAAATTGCATGTACTTAAAATTAGTAATTGATGTCAAGTTGAGTTACAGGGACAGTTGGTAGAATACATGATAAAATTAATGCATGATTATTATAATTATCACCAAGCATTTGAATAATTACAGCCTTCTTTGCGAAAAGCAATTCATAGATACATGTAATTGAAAATAATTTAATTCTTAAGACAGACAGATATACAATGTAGGTATACATGTAAGAATATAAGTCTGTATTTTAGTAAACATGATACAGTCATATGTATATGAATAAAAAGATAATTACATTTATTTTATGCATGGTCATGCAGTTACATGAATTGTAACTTTGGAAAACTATGTAATACTTTAAGGTTACTTCTATAATAAGGGAAACTTGACCTTTAAATCTTGTGCAAGTCCAGTTTATATTATTATCGCATGGCTGTGAGCTTTTCCTTTGTTCTTTCTAACCCATTATACTCAGTACACTTCAATGAGCATTTCAAAACTGTATTGATATATAACAGTACAGTTTTTTCATTGATTCATATAGGGAAAAAACTCGACTGTTATATATCGGTCGAGTTTTTTTTGCACCTTGTATATATCAATACAGTTTTTTCATAGAGGCTGCAATGGGGCAGTGGTAACGCCCATTCCGAGTAGCAAAAAAACCCCATAAAATAATAAAAAAATGAAATCAATAAAATAAAATAAAATAAATATATAAATACAATGAAAAATATAAACAAAGATAATTAATGAAATGAAAAAAGCCCTTTAATCTTAAATCAATCTTGGTAACAGTATACAATCCGCCTCTTATATTGGATGTCTTTTTATGCCCCCACAGAGTGGGAGCATATAGCGCTGCACTTGTCCGTCCGAGTGTCAGTCCGTCAGTCCGTCCGTACGTCCCGAAATCTTGTGAACGCAACTCCTCTTAAACCGGATGGCAGATTTTGCTTAAACTTACAGGGATAAACAACCTTAATGTGTAGATGGTAGTAAAGGAAGGAATTTTCGCTACGACCAAATTTAACAGAATTATGGCCCTTTGTTGATTTTTTCACTAGATACTATGAAGAAATTTTGTGAACGCAACTCCTCTTAAACCGCATGGCAGATTTTGCTCAAACTTACAGGGATGAACAACCTTAATGTGTAGATGGTAGTAAAGGAAGGAATTTTTGCTGCGACCAAATTTAACAGAATTATGGCCCTTTGTTGATTTTTTCACTATATACTATGTAGAAATTTTGTGAACGCAACTCCTCTTAAACCTCATAGCAGATTTTGCTTAAACTTACAGGGATGAACAACCTTAAGGTGAAGGTGGTAGTAAAGGAAGGAATTTTTGCTGCGACCAAACTTTACAGAATTATGGCCCTTTGTTGATTTTTTCACTATATACTATATAGAAATTTTGTGAATGCAACTCCTCTTAAACCGGATGGCAGATTTTGCTTAAACTTCCAAGGATGAACAACCTTTATGTGTAGATGGCAGTAAAGGAAGGAATTTTCGCTGCAACCAAATTTAACAGAATTATGGCCCTTTGTTGTTTTTTTCATTATATACTATGTAGAAATTTTGTGAACGCAACTCCTCTTAAACCGGATGGCAGATTTTGCTTAAACTTCCAGGGATTAACAACCTTAATGTGTAGATGGTAGTTAAGGTAGGAATTTTTGCTGCGACCAAATTTAACAGAATTATGGCCCTTTGTTGATTTTTAGTTTTCAACTTGTGGCACATGTAGTCCAAAAAATATTTGACCTAGAGTCATAAGATTGACAGAACAGTGGTGTGTGGGGGCATCCGTGTCCTATGGACACATTTCTAGTGTATATTTTTTTGCGGCAGCGAAAACAACTTGAAAAACTGCCTTATGATAAATAACTGTAATGTAGCTAACGATTAATTTATTTATTTGTTTCTACACAAAAAAGAAAACATTATGCCATTGCGATAAAACAGTTATAGTATATGAAACTCGTTAGTTACGGGGGTATAACACTGGCTTGGGCGACATCTCGGGATGTTTCTGCAAAAAAAAATTGTCTCGGCCTAACGGCCTCGCCATTTTTTTAGCAGAAACACCCCTTGATGTCGCCCCAGCCAGTGTTATACCCTCGTAACTAACTCGTTTCATATACTATAACTATTACGTATAAGTATTAAATATTTTGTGGTATATACATGTACATGTAGGTGTTTATATTAAAGTTTCTTGTAGGGCTTAAAGCCTTTACATATTTATAAGGTCAGCAGTCAGGTTGGTGAATTGTATGAAATACCGTAGTATTTTAGACATGGTACGGTTTTGTATCATTTATATATGGTAAATTGAAAAGGTTAATTTCCCCTCTTGGTAAATACCAAACATGAATAAATAATGAATATATCACAGTCGGACACTCAGTGATATTTTCATTCATATTAAATTACTATTGTTGATGAAATGTTCAGCAAAACCATGTTTTACATGTACATTATGCATTTATAATAGATTAAATGGTTTTAGAGGCTTCTGGCAATGTTTTCAGCCTATTCCTGTAGAGTCAGTGCAGACAAAGTGGTTATATAAATATCATGTATGCATTTATTATGTCCTGAAAAAAAAATTCTACCTAAAATACATGCAAATCATTGAACATTAATAGCATTCAACAGATAAAAAATTCTGTATTATGTAAGTGCAAAATACGGTTTCATTATATAGAAGTGCCAACTTCTACTATTCTTAGTTGGTTCCCATCTTGGCTGTGCTTTAGGTACATACATAGTACATGTATTTTGAAACAAGAACCAAAAGTAATGTATATTCATTCACCATTCATGAATTTTATTTCTTGATCACTATATTTCTGTAAATAAAATCTCTTTTTGTCTTAAAATTTTAAAGTATATATTAAAAGGAAAATTATGTGGTAGTAGCTTTCAGAGGCCTTGTGTTTAATGGTACTGGCAGCTTGGAAAATTGATAAATCTCAATTGATCATTGGTCTCGCTTGATATCAATTTGCACACGCTGCTCGCTGCTCAGTAATAAAATATAAAGCCTCAGAAAGCTACTACAACTAAATATTCTATTTCTGTATGCATTGCTTATAAATTTTTTTTGTATTTTCAAGTAGTGTACTTTGCACAGTGTCGCAACACTAATAAGATTTAGATACTTACATTGTACTTCTATTGCAGAAAACCAATGAAAAACTGATCTTTGATCATTTTATTGCTTTTATAGATTATGATATTATAAAAGTTATAAGCTTATTGCTCCCATATTCAGGTTTCAGGTCATTGAATAGTTTGCCAATAACTGATAATTTGACTGTTTTTACTGATAATAATAATCTATTGAGTAATACATGTAAATATTACAGTAAATAAATTTTTCTTTTATTTTCAGGGCATTCATTGCAAAATTGGTCAATAACTGATAATTTTAAATGCAGTGGCTGATTACTTTTGTTATCAATTTGTTACAGTTTACATTGTAATATTTTTCTTTATTTTACAGGTCATGCAAAAACTGGCCAATAGCTGATTATTTCACTACATTGACTGATTATTGAATAAGTTAACAATCAGTGAGGCTGGCTGGTTGGCGTCTCAAGTATGTATCTATAACTTGGTTATCAATTGGACTTGTACCCTTGGAACGGAGTGTTATGACACTGGTTTAGGACAGATTTATCTACAAATTAACGCTCTAACATGAACTAATTAATCACGAGAAGTGCTTGATTCATATTTATGGTTAACAAAAGCATCAAGGAAGAAATCTACAACATCTACATGTATTTGATTTCATGCTAAACAAAGTAGAAATGATGAAAAAAAATGGTGTTGCTAAATTCATAGCAGAATTGTAATAATAAAAAATGAGTTGTGAAAGACAATCAAAATTGTGACTGTATACAAATTGTTTTAATTGATAGTTACTGAACAGGAAATGAAGTTAAAAGCGTGAAAGTCAAGATGACAATGTGGAAAGATAATTTACAAAACATACACGCGAACGATGCTAAAGAATTTCTGCTTGGCGGGACATCGACAATGGATCAGGTCTTTCTGTCACACCAGTGTCCACGCATTGAGTCGACAGATTTTACAATCGACGTCTGCAACAACAAGCTGGACAAGGTCTCATCGCCAGCTATTAGTGAGCCGCGGGAACCTTTTGATTTTAGTACGGATAATAAGAAAACGAATTGTTATCAGGTGACGCTGTCGTCTTTTGTGTTAATAGCCATCATCTGCTTTCTTCTTCTATTATGTCGAGATTACATCAAAGATCTTCTAGTATGGATGGAAAACGTTGACCTCACGGTCAGCTTTTTGATATTTTTGGTTCTTTACACCATAGTGTCGTACCCAATGGCGTGGGGCGTGATTCTGTTAATGATAGCATGCGGATATTTATACGGATTAATTTATGGACCGATAGTCGTGGAAGTTTGTAGTGCCGTAGGAGTAGCTATAGCTCATGTGACGATGAAAAGATTTTGCCGTAGTTTTATAATTAAGAAATTTTATAATGACAATATGACAGCTGTGATATCTGTAGTTCGGGGGTAAACATGGTTTTTTAAAGTAGTGGCATTAACTAGACTTACACCTCTACCATTTGGTCTTCAAAAAGC